GCTGCAGACGCAGCACTTGGTGTGACCTCTTGCTGTAATTGCTGTGAGGGCAGCAATACCTGCCACAGGCAGCCTGATTGACTTCCAATGTGTGGAGGGGAATTACCAGGCACTTCACACATCTTCTTATTGGATCTTCATCCCAATCCTAAAAAACAAAAACAAAACAAACAAACAAAAAACTTATCCCACTTTTCTTATAGGGGAATGGATGTTTTTGTGGCTGGTGGCTTCCCAGATGTTAGGACCTTGCTGTGTACAACTGGGAATATTATTCTTGAGAATAACTGGGGTTAAGGGTAGGTGATGGGCCTTGATGGAGCTTTTGGTGCTTCAGAATATGTTTTTTATTTGTATAAATAGTGAGGTTTTTGTTGTTGCTGCTTTTTTAAGAATTTTATTTATTTAGCCAAGTTTTCTGTGAAGGGGCTGAGGCTGGAGAGGAGGGGCCAGTGGACAAGCGGTCTATGCTGTCAGCAGTGGGAGAGCTGTGGCAAGGGGCACCTTTCTTGTGGGTTCAGGATTAGTCACTATGAAATGGTAATTGAGAACTGCTGGGCTTCATTTCAGGGGCTATGGGTTCCTTTGTGTTCTTTACCAAAGATTTGCTGTGTTTGATAATGCAGGCTGATCAGTTTTAAGAACTATTGGTGTTATATCCCTAGTTCTCTCTTTTTTTTTTTTTTTTTTTAAATTTTGAGACAGGGTCTTGCTAAGTTGCTGAGGTTGGCCTTGAACCTGTGATCCTCCTACCTCAGCCTTCCCTACCCCTAAACAATCTATCCATGTTAGTTAGTAGGGGGCTGCCCTCAAGTCCAGCCCTTCTAATTAGTGTCTTGGTTTGTTTTATTGTTGGGCAGGGGTGGTCTCACATACTGTCTCAAGCTCCCTAGTATTCCCAAAGTTAGAGTTTGTATATTCCCCATTCTTTCTCTTCAACACTTCATTAAATTTTAGAAAAAGCACCATCCACCCCAGTACTGTGGACAGTGAGCATATGTAGAGGACCATCAGCGCAGTGTCATGGCCTGCAGGAATCTGGGGTTTATCTGTGAGTATATTCCTGCTGACATGATTGCCTTATGGCAGGGGGCATTCTGAAGTTTCATTACTTTATCTGGGAACCCAGGTGATCAAGTAGCTTCATTTGTATATTAGCAGCACCTCCTCCCCAAGGTTAAAGGATATGAAATGTTCAAGGTCGATCCAGTGCAGATGTTGAAAGCTGGCCTGCAGGGATGGGGCTGCTCTTGAGGGAGAGGCTGGACCCAGGGTTACATGTGGGAAACATGCTGATATTTTTCATTTGGCTGTGCTTCTCTACATGAGTTCCCATATTAATTATGTTTCCTGGTTTCCAGAGGGAATGAAAAGGTCAAAAAGATGGTGACATGAAAAAAAAAAAGAATTGTATCATTAATATGTTCTTGAGAACTTTAATACTGTTGTAGGGACAGATGAGGCAAGGCACCAAAGATAGCAGGAAACAGTTTTATTTGGCTGCAGCCAGGTTCAGAGGGTACAGTTTTCGCTATAATCAATTAATCCCCTGAACCCTGAGGTCAGGTACTTTCAGAACTTTATACCCAGCATGGAAGTGGAGGGGCTCAGAAGTTCACAGACTGCAGAAGTTCACATAAAGCAGCTTTTTCTGGGCTGGGGTTGTGGCTCAGTGGTAGAGCGCTTGCCTCGCATGTACGAACCACTGGGTTTGACTAACAGCACTGCATATAATTACATGAATAAAATAAAGGTCCATCAACCTTTATTTTAAAAAAAAGAAAAAGCAGATTTTTCCTTCACTGTTTTGGGCAAGTTAACCCTTCAAGGACAACACCGGAGAAGGGGAGAGCTCTCTGCCCCCCTCCACCCACCCCTGTTACCATGGAGGCCAACTGGTAATTTCTCTTATCTTAGAAATGTAGACATCTCTGTAAAGCTCCAGCTCAAGGCCGGAAGCTGTGTTAAAGAATTTGTCTTTTTTTTTTTTTTTAATCTCATTTTGCATTTGCAAACACACTTTTCAAACTACTATACTGGATAAATATTTGTGAGAAACTAGGAAAAGGGGTGTTCAGCCCCTGGAGTGCTGATCTCTTCCAGGCCAGTGGCCAAGTAAAAAAGAGGAATAGGAAAATAGGAAGTTTACCTATATTGAACTCTTTTGTAGAGACTCTTTTGCTGATAGTTCTAAAATCAATTATGGTGAAGATTCCTGGAGAAGTTTAGTTAAGATTTTCTGTGGAGAAGGGGGTGCCACTACAATACTAACTAGTAGGAGCTAGAACACAGGAAAGTTAATAGTTTTTCAGTGGTTTAAGTGAGTCATCTAAAATATCAAATATAGAAATTTTTAACATAAAAGAATCAACAATACTTAATTTCTGACATTTTAAAAACTAGCTACAAAATCAGGAGCTGTTGCAGCAGGAATGTTAGTCAGGATTGTCAGTTAAGTCTCAAAAGTCTCAGAGCAAAAATTATATCAGAAAGTCCAACAGACTGTGGGACTAGGCAGGAAGGCACTGAGTGATAACCTACCTTCTCATGAAAAGCAAAGGCTGAGAATATGTCACAGGCTGGAGGCCTCTAAGGAGACAGGATGATGGCATTTAATGTAGGATCCTGGAGTAGATCCTGGAATAGAAAAAAGGATTGAGTGGAAAACTCAAGCAATCAAAATAATTTGAGGCCTTGTTAATAACACCGTTCTACTGAACTCCTAAAAGTGATTATCCCATCATGAGACTGTTGCTGAGAGCAGATTTTAAGTCTTCTTACCACAAAAGAGTTAGTATTGTTGTAAAATGTTAATTATATGTGTTAACTATATATATATGTTATATGATTAGCTATATATATATATTAATTACATGGTGTAGCCACTCTACCATGTGTGAATATGCCAAAATGTGTGGTACACCATAACTATATGCAATTTTTATTTGTCACTAAAAGAATAATAATATTGTTCCAATGTTAGTACCTTAGTTTTGATTAAAGAGTCCCGGGGAAACTAGTTAAAAAAGATACGGAAATTGCCTATACAATCTTTGTATTTTTTCTGTAAATTGAAATTATTTCAAAATAAAATATAGAAAATGCACTACAGGACAGCCATAATCATAGCTGCTTTGAATTCCAGATCAAAGAAAAAGACTGTGGTTAGGAAAATTTTGAATATTTGAACAAAAGAGGAAATCCTAGAAGGAACCTGGGTTTAACGATTAGTAAGCTTTATATTTTCCTGGAGGAATATGAATGTAGAGCTGTGTATGGAGGACACAGCCAAGAGGCAGGGGTCTGAATGTTCCCACCTGTACCTCCAGGAGTCCTGATGCAGGTATCAGATCATCCCAACTCCTGCCTCCTAAGCAAATCTAGTGTATAATGAGCTGACACATCTAAAAAAAAAAAATTAACAATGTATGCAGTTAAAAACTGTCAGACAATACTATTAGAGCCTTGACTTAGGAATGAGTATTGGGAGAAAGTTAGGAAAAAAAAAGCATTTTTTTTTCCCCATTAGGGATCATTGACAAGATATTGCCATTTTCTAGATATTATTATAAAGATAATGATTTTAAAGCTTATTTCCAAATTTTCTTAATTACATATTAATTTGAAAATCAGAAAACCCAATAAGAAAAATATAAATCTAAGTACATGGGTTCCTCAACTATAGATCTATAGATTCAAGCAACCTCCAATCAAAAAAAAATAATTCTGAATATGACACATTTTTTTTCTTGTCATTTCCTCACAATGATACTGTATCATAGCTGTGTATATAGCATTGTATTATATTAGGTATTGCAGGGAATATAGAGATGATTTAAAGGATATAGAGGGCTTAAAGGACATAGAAGGTAGTTTGTATGCAAATACTACATCATTTTATATAATGTACTTGGAATTTGGTATCCAAGGGGGTCCTGGACCAAGTCCTTGGTGATGATTATGTACAGTTGTGCACACCTCATATTTATGTTAAACTGCAAGAACAAAATACATCAATAGTATATCCTCAGGCACCCCTAATTTTCTATTTTGATAGGCATTAGACACAACAAAGCACAATCATTTCTTTTCTGCTCTGTTGTCTTGAATGACTGGGAAATTCTTTGTCCTTCCAGACAGTAAAGGTATCACTTGCTATGTGGGGCTCTCTCTAACCTTCCCGACTCGCCCCTCAGAACTCTTCTGCATAGAATTCTCCTCCAATTCTGCATCATCCACCCTCCACTGCACTTTATTTCAAATTGTTCTTGAGATATCTATTTGTTCTATGAATCTGCAAGCACCTGAGTGCTTCACGCCATAACCATCTTACTATCCCAGCCTTCAGCACTGCTTCCTGGTACTGGGGATCCAGGATTAAGGTTTTCTAGTTGTACTATAGTATGGATATTTTTCTTCATGCCCAGTAAAGGGGAAATCATGCATAAAGGCCAGTAAAGGCAAGAGTTCCAGGGAACCTTGATGTGCTGTCCAAATCTGTGTTGAGTTGATTCTTTCAGTTTCTCCCCATATTAGCAATGAACTAGTGAACACTTGAGAGCCAGAGTTTAAGAACTACAGATCACCCTTCCTGTGTTCTTTATTGTGTGTATAACTATGAGGTAGTATATATTCTATAGTTTGAAATAATGATTTTTATGTTTAATTGATGTTTAATTTAAACATTCTTAATAAACTTTTTAAAATTTTTATTTGAAGTACAAAGAGCCAGTGTGCTTTCTTTCACTGGGTTGATGTGCTGGGATAATCCATTCGAGGAAGTTCACTTAGTCCAACTTAATGAAGCCTAAATTCCTTGTGTTCAGTATGTGGTGCCACATATTGAAGCTATTATTTCCAGATCAGAGTGAGAACCCTGGTTGAATTTTACTAATGCCTCCACTAGAGCTGCTAGGGACTCATCTTGCTTTCAGGGGTGCAATGAGGCAAAATGCTGGATTTTAAATATACATTTTTCTTATTTCCATTTCCACGAAAAGGAGCTGGTGGCTGGACTCCACTTGTGTCAAATAAATACCAGTGGCTGCAGATTGACCTTGGAGAGAGAATGAAGGTCACGGCAGTGGCCACCCAGGGAGGATATGGGAGCTCCGACTGGGTGACCAGCTACCTTCTGATGTTCAGTGACAGCGGGAGGAACTGGAAACAGTATCGACGAGAAGAAAGCTTCTGGGTATGTTCCTCTGTTCGGAAATATGGTCTGTCAGAGTATAAATTTTGCCAGTTGCTATGGGTTGGTGCAATCTATCATACCAACTACAGAAATAGAGCCTCCAAAAGCATTTGAACAAGCTTTCAAGTGCATGAAAGACACAGTGGCTTTAAAAAACACATTGCCCATGTTTAATTAATGAAATAAGTAAAAGGAGAACAGGTTTGTAATCCAGCTAAATACTGAGAATGTCATCTCATTATTCCTTTAAGTCATGTAAAGTCTAAGAATCCAGAAGTCACATACAATCCATTTTTATTCTTGTTCAGTTACACAGGAATTTACATTGTCTTAGCATCATTAAATCCAATAAATTCATTCTTCTGTGACCTCTGATAAACTGAGGTTTCCAATAAGCAGAACACTTAAAAATACATATAATGGAGAATCTCCCTATGGAGCATGTGTTCAGGAACCTAGGTGGCCCTTGTCATTCGTGGCCTGTAGGACTATTTGAGATTACTGTAAATCAAAGCTATTTTCAGTTATTTAAAATGATATAAGTGCCATATATTTTTTAAAATTTCTGTGTACATGTCCATGCTCCTTTTAGAGGATTTAAATTTTGTTTGCGTAACTTTTTGATTATTCCAGTAGCTCTAGTTTATTATAGACTTAGTACTTACTAGGTTAGTCACCCTGTGCTCTGAAAGACAGGCTCTAAAGGGAGAGTGTTGGAGCTCTCAACACAATACCTGTACCTGGTTTGTGGAACACCCAGTGCAGTGTGGACTAAGGAAGGTTTGTCAGAAGCAGAAGAAATTGCTTTTTATTGAAAATACAGTTTAGGTGGTTGCCAGGGGCTGGGTGATGGGAGAAGGGACAGATAGTGTTAAGTGAATACAGAGTTTTTGTTTGGGAAGATGAGAAAGTTCTGGACATGGGTGAAGGAGACAGTTACAGAGCAGGGTGAATGGAGTCATGCAGCAGAACTGGAGGTTGAAAACAGCTAAAGTGGTGAAGTTTATGATAATGTATAATTTGTTACAGTAACAAGATGCATAGTTTAGGTTTGTTTAATACAGGCTAAGAATATTGGATAACTTTCCCCCTCAATCTCCATGGCAAGAGGAAAGATGTTAGCTTAAAAGCCACTACTTCTTAGCACTTTGCTTATGATAAGGCTAGAAGGCCACAATGATCATAATCCTGGGGTAACAAATTGCCCTTAGTAGAATTATAAAACTCTGTTACTTATTATATGGAAATATCTCAGAAACTCTTATTAGCTTGCAATAAATGTTGGTGTTAATTGAATCAAGAACTAGTTCTCTAACAATAGATGAAAGAGCACAACAGGGTGGGATTTGTAAGAAATTTTGCTACTGGCCTTGAAACAAATGCCAGGTATATGATTAGAAGTAGATATTAATGTTGAGCTAATTCAAAGAAAACCAAGTCCATGGCAGGTTTGAGATGAACATTGATTAGGAATGAGTAACATGGTTGGGGACATAACTTAGTGGTAGAACTTAACATGTTTGAGGCCCTGGGTTTAATTGTTGCCTGCACTGGGTGGGAAAAAAAGGAGCAAGAGTTAAAACTTAATGAAGAATCTGTGAATATAGAAAACTAAATACAGCTTTTTCATCTTAGATAAGTAATAGCTAATGCATGCTAATTCTTTGTTACATTAAATCAGGATTGTGTTTTTAACCCCACCACGCAATTAAATGACTGAGAAATGGTGAAAATTCTTATTTTTCACTTAAGCCAGAGGGAAGCCACATCTAAGTGTCACCATGTGCCATTTTGATTTCTGGCAAATTTACCATATTAATAAGTTAATATTATAAGGAACAAAGTTTACCCTAGGTCACCTGTAAGGGCAAGGAGTCAGTTACTCTGTGATTTAGGCTGGTTTCTAATGGGTGTCTCTGGAGAGCCTTATTTGGAACAAAACAACTCTGAAGGCAACTTAATAGTTTTGCAGGCAGCGCTTTCCTTTCCCTACCCCACCAAGCTTAGGGAGAAATAGTGTCAAGAATATTTGCATTCATGGTGGTTCCTCTGTAAATGCTTCTTGAATTAATGGATTAACTTCTGTAATCATAATTTGGATTCATATTTCAGAATCCATTGAAAATTGGGATTGATTTTGGAAGTTGATTTTTTAAAAAATTATGTGAAGTATAATTGCCATATATGATGAAAAGAATAAATTTGAAAATATAATTAATTTTAGGTGACAGTATATTGACCAAGTACCCTGCATTCTTTTTCTTTTTTGATGTTCTCAAAATTATAAAAAGTTGATAATGATGTAGTAAGCACATGAAAATATTTCGATTTTCAAATGCTTCCTATTAAATGATTTTTAAAAATAAAAATGGGGAGGATTATTAATACCAGACCATATGTGTGAGGATGGTGCTTCCCACCTCTGTTCTTGGCCAGCACTATGTGTTTAGGCTGTGTGTAGAGTGGTGTCAGGAGCTGCCTGCTCTTGCTCCCAGGGAGCTTACCCAGACACACTAACTTTGCTCCCTATATCACCAGCACTGCATGGAGTGTGCTTGGTAATAAAATGTTTGCTGAATTAAGAGATGGGTAAAACCTATCATTATTGATCCCCAGACCCAATTAAGCCCCCTCCTATTCTGCCTTTCTCTTGATATTTGCCTCAGCTTTATTTGTCTTAGAATCCAAGTGTAGTTTTTCTCCTTGCCTGTATTTTGAGCTTCTTTAAGACAATGCTTGATCCTCTTGGCTATCGTTTGATGGTATAGTCCCCTATCCCTATATTTGGAGATAAGAATCAAAGTTATGGTCTAAACTAAAGCAATGGGTTCACTCTTTGGTGAATGTAAAACCAGTAAGCACACCAGGAGATAGAAGACTGAAGGAAGATTTATCACTTGCATCATGTCTAGAGAGCACTCAGGATAGCTCCCACAGCAGCACCTCCCCAAAGGAGGAAAGAGGCTTTTGCTGGGAAAACTCACATGCACGAGTGGGCTATTCTTGAGCATGTTCCTTCAGAGATTGTGCTTCTTAAAACATTTCTGGTAATGCCTCCTGGGCAGAGAAGTTAATATTATAAGGAACAAAGTTTACCCTAGGTCACCTGTAAGGGCAAGGAGTCAGTTACTCTGTGATTTAGGCTGGTTTCTAATGGGTGTCTCTGGAGAGCCTTATTTGGAACAAAACAACTCTGAAGGCAACTTAATAGTTTTGCAGGCAGCGCTTTCCTTTCCCTACCCCACCAAGCTTAGGTAGTCTCTAAAAGCCCCTGCCTCCCAGCTACCAGTATCACCAGGTGGGGACTTTAGGTGTTAATCACAGTGGTTCTGCCCTCAAGAGTGGGATTAATGCCTTATAAAAAAGCTGGATTAACTCTCTGGGTTCTTTCCCTTCCAACTCTGCAGGAGGGCACACTTTCATTGAGGTGCAGGGCTTCCCCAGACACTGAATCTGCTGGCAAATTTACCATTGAAAATTTACCATTAAAAAAAATTCCTTGTGCTGGGAGTGGTGGCACACTCCTGTAATTCCAGTGGCTTGGGAGGCTGAGGCAGAAGGACTGTAAGTTCAAAGCCAGCCTCAGCAAAAGTGAGGTGCTAAGCAACTCAGTGAGACCCTGTCTCTAAATAAAATAAAAAATGGGGCTGGAGATGTGGCTCAGTGGTCAAGTGCCCCTGAATTCAATCCCTGGTACCAAAAAAAAAAAAAAAAAAAAAAAAAAAAAAATTCTTTGTATTAGTTACACTTTTTATCAGTGAGAAAAATATGCATTTATTAATATTGTCATTGAATTGGTTTTCTTTTGCTGCTGTTACAGTGACCTACAGTCAGTGGTTTCATACAAAACACAATTATTAGGTCATAGCTGACATAGGTCTAATGTCTGGGTGAATGTTGGTGAATTCTATGTGTAGATGTCAGCAGGGCTGGTTGTTTTGCTTGCCTGTTTCTTTTGCTGAGGCTCTGGAGAAGAGTTATTTCTCAAGCCCTAGAACCTTTCCCAGGTTCACTGCTTCACTGGGAGGGATTCCAGGGCTCAACATATGGTCCTATCCTTGGGTCTGATTTACTGCAGCTCGGAGCACAAACCAAAGTTAATAAAGGCAAGAAGCACCTGGGGCAGGAGCCTGAGACCAGCATGAGCTTCTGATAGTCCTCTTTTCTTGTGGCCCACTGGAAGTACTTCATTCCTCTGTAAGTGGGTAATGAAATCTGACCTCCAGGGAAGGTCATTATCATTTTGGGGGAACAAGTCATATTGGAAACCTCTGCCTCGCACATAAACAAAATGGATTTCCAGAAGGAAAGAGGTGTTGAGTGTCAACCACCCTAATTTTACAAACTGTTCATTCAGGACTAGCCAGCCACCCTCATCCTCAGGGTAGTGGGAGTGGTTTCAGATGCCGCTAGACAGAACTGCTCTGCCACCTCTCCTGTACTACTCACTTTGGACTGGACAACCGTCACTCCGTGCAGTTGTAGGTCTGTGGCCGCCAGTGGTGTGGCAGGTCTCTCAGCTCTAAGTGTTCCCCTATTCCTTCTCCTTTCCTGGTGGCCCCTCCACAAGTGAATGGTGGAGACCCTTGAATGGTATAGATCTTGGGTCCTTCTGCTGCATTTCCTTTTCTTCTTGTGCTAACAGCTAGAGAAAGTTTTCTGCTCATAGGCTTAGGCTGGATCAACATGATCATCCAGGGTTACCTTTCCAACTTCAGTCATGTGTAAAAAATCCCTTTTTCTGTAGTTGTCTCATATTCACATTTTTTTACACATTAATGAATAGATATCTGTGGGGCCATTCTGCATGCCATACCATATTTACACATCCTGATTGTTGTTGTTTTATTCCTGCATTTCGTTTGCTTCCTACAAAACAATTTCTGCTGGACCTTAAGATACAAATATTGTATGAAATAATTTCGAAATGATACCCAAGCACCTGCTCAGGGTTGGTGGGTGGGGATGACTGGATGCTTGTCACTGGCTTAAAGCCTTGT